GAGTGGGTGGTAAGGGAGGGGGTGGGGGCAGGGGGGAGAAATGACCCAAGCCTTGTATGCACATATGAATAATAAAACAATAAAAAAAAAAGAAAAGATGTGATCTTAAAAGCTAGGTATAAACAAATGGACATACATTAAATATTAAAAATAAGTATGAAAATATTTTTTCTGCAACTTTTAACAAAGGAGGGAATGACTAAAGAGTAATGCGTATCATTTCTTATATTTAAATGCAAAATGATATTTATTCTTTTCCAGAGACATATTTTAAGACACTTTTATAAGATACAGTCTTTTACATATGATTGTATTTTTATTGGTATATAATGGTTATTTTAGAAGACTTTTTATAATGCAGTGAGTGAATCATGATATGGGTATATTCCAGAAGGAAATAATTGTCAATTTACTCGAGTCCACTTATTTTAGTTAGAGTAGGGTTTATGCTTAGCTTGTTCACTACTGTAAATGTAGCAATTAAAGGAGTATTGAAAATCATTCATTCAGCCTAATGACTAAGTTGAATGAATAAATGCCTAAACCATAGCTTTTTTTTAAAGCTAATGTTGATAAAGAAATGTACATTATTCTTACGCTTTTTTAGCTGGTTCTGAAAGTAGTTTCCTTTCTCTCATGTCTTTATGAAACAAAACTTTTAGTGGCTCATCAGACAAGGGAAGATCTCAGAAAACTCCAACTTCTCCCCTTTCTCCAAGTTCCCAGAAGTTATTACAGTTTGACCTTCCAGGAACTTCATTAGAAAGATCTAAATCCTCAACTATAATACCTCCAACTACAACAGGATTTAAGCCCACTACATCTTTCACTGATGTGAACAAAACAGAGATGGCTTCAATACCAGGCAAGTAGATTTATGCAGTTAGAATTTAAAATTTTTTTTTTCCTGAAAATTCCTCATCTTTAAATTGAGCCATAGGGAAATGTTATTTCAAGCCAATGTGATTACTCTTTGAAGTATTAAAAACAGTGCAGGAAATTAAATATTGAAAAGCTTGAGAGTGAATAGTGGTGATTTTTTTCCATATTGCCAGCATTATCAAAATTCACCTAAAATGTCTGAGTGTTTATATGTATATGTTTGTCTGTGTCCAAGTATGTATGTATGTATATACATGCATGTGTATCCACATGTATAAAACATGAAAGAAGTAACTATTAAAATAAATACGTTATATTAGTAAGTCACTGTCTTTGCTACAAAGGACAGCATACAGTTTTGGCTCTTAAAATGAGAAATAAATTTCAGAAATCTGAGATGTAAATTGATGTGAACTTTTCCATTTGACAACTGTTATGCCCTCCTCCAGGTTCTAGGCGTTTTTCTCCTGCTGGCCTCCAACATCGTATGGCAGCAGAACTCAGTTATCTGAATGCCATTGAGGAGTCTGTGCGCCAGCTGTCAGATGTGGAAAGAGTTAGAGGTATTTCACTTGCTCAGCAGGAGAGTGTGTCTTTGGCTCAGATCATAAAGGTATTGGAATTTTCTTCTGTATCTTTCTGTGGGTTTTCCTCTTTTCTCTGTTATTTAAACTATTCTTCGTGATGAGTTTTAAAACTTTTAAACTGCTAAGAAGGAAAAAAAAAATCTGTTATATGGTACCTATAAATAACCCTGGGAAAAACTTACCACATAGGGTACTAAAAAGAAAACTGAAGATACAGTGTTTGGCAGCAGAACAATAACATAATTCTTCTTTCTCAAATATTTTGATTTCCATTTTTTATGCTTTGTTTTATGTTTTATTTTTTGGCAGGACTGGGGTTTGAACCTGGCCCTCATGCTTGGTAGGCTGGACTCTACCAGTTGAGCCACTCCACCATCCCTTTTTGTGTGTGTGTTTGTTTGTTGAATATTTTTGATATAGGGTCTCACTGTCTGCCAGGTTGTCCTTGAACCACAATCCTCCTGATCTCTGCCTTCTGAGTAGGTAGGATTGTAGGTACGAACCACGATTGCCCAGCCTTATGCTTTGTTTTAGTGACATATGAAAGTTAGGTAGTCATTTGTAGTGTTTTCTCTTTCCATTGTGGTTGGAATTTGTATTTCCCTAATGACTGAGGAGGCTGGTCATCTCCTTGTTTTTTTATTTTACTATTTTTATATCTTCTTTTCTGAATGTATTTAATCTTTTGGATTGTCTTTTTAATCACAGAGTCATAGGAATTTTTTATGTTTTCTAGAAACATGTCCTTTTGATGTGTTTCAAATATTGTATCCCATTTCTTGACTTTTTCATTTTTTTAATTATATCTTCTGAAGAGCAGAAGTTTTTAATTTTGAGGCAGTCTTATTTGTATTTCTGAGACAGAAAACTCTGGTCTGGAGCTCCCTGTGTAGCCTAGGCTAGCCTCAAACTTGCCATTTCTGTGCCTTAGCCTCCCAAGTGCTGGGATCACAGGTATGCACCACCATGTCTGGCTGTGCCTTTGTTTTTAAGAGACCTTTGCCTACCCTAAGCTGTTAAGATACTCTTAACAGAGATATTCTTTTGTTTTTCCCAAAAAGTTTTTTAGTTTTAGCCTTTATTTTTAATTGTGTGACTGTATCAAGTTAATTTGGGGTTGATATGCACAAGGGGAGTTAAAACTATTTTTCTTTCATATGTATAATCAATTGTTTCAGCACCATTTCCTTTAAAAGACTTGAATTACATTAGTACATTTATCCATAGTTAAATAACTGCTGTGTGTAGGTCTCCTCTGTATTTTGTTCTTTTCTGTTGATCTGTTTGTCTATACTTAATGCCAGTATTACAGTGTCATTTTTCAGTATGGCTTTATGGTGAGTGTTGAAATCAGGATGAAAATCTACAATTTTGTTCCTCTTTTTTCAGGATGGTTTTAGCTATTCTATCTTTTTTACATTTCACATAACTTTTAGAAGTAGTTTGTTTCTACTGAAAAAAAAAAAACAAATACAAAAACAAACAAAAAATAAGCCTGATGGGATTTTGATTAGAATGGCAGTAAATGTATCAGTTAGCCTGGGGGAGAATTCACATCTTAACCATATTACATCTTTTAATTTATGAGCATAATGCAATTTTTCTATTTTAATATTTTTCTCAGCCTTATAGTTTTTCATTAGAGGTCTGACTTTGAATTTCTTTTTTTTTTTTAATTATTGTACTTGGGGGCACATTGTGACATTTATAAAAGTTCTTACAATTTTAAATTTCATTCCTAAATATTTTATAGTTTTTTGTTTTTACTATTGTAGATGATTTTTTTCAGTTTTATTTTCCGTCTATTCCCAAAATGCCCAAAGAAATTTTTTTGTATGGGGCTTTGCCAAACTTTTCAGGGAGTTCAACATTCCTGTACCCCTTCACTAATAACAATAGTCCAATCCAATCCAATCCAATCCAATCTACAGTTACAGTAGACACTTCCTGGACATTTCCAAATACTCCCTGGTGAAGGGTGGGGAGGAATTGATGTCAACTTTGTTGAGAATCACCAGATTGAAGAACTCCAAAGAACTCTTTGGAGTGAAGGGCCATGTGGACCTTGAAATCTGAGTGAACACTGAGATTTTCTACCATTTCAGGGTACATTATGATTCTGAATGTCCACATTTGTTCAGGACACTAATGCAGCTTTATATATAAACTAACCCCTTTTAGAGAACTTCTCTCTGCTATTTAGTGCTATTCCAGAAGAAGTAAAAATACATAAATTTATTGCTAGCATTGTAGGGAATAATGGCAAGAAAATGTCCTAGTGAAAAGGACATCTTTTGGGAGGCAGGTTTTTTTTTTAAATAATTTTATTAGCATATAATAGTTGTACAGGGGCATACATTGTGATATTTACATATGTGTCTACAATATATCTTAGTTGGATTTATCCCCTCCTTCGTTCTTCATCTTCCCCCTTCTTAGAACAATTTCAGTAGGTTTCATTTTTCTATTTTCATATATGGATACAAAATACATCCACTGTATAAACCCTCATTCACCCTTTGCTTGTGCCCACCCCCATGCCACTGGTACCCACCCACAAAAAAAGACTAATTTTTCTGGAGGTAACATTTTTAATGAAAATAAACAAACCAAAATTCTGAGATATGAAGCATTATCTTTATTTTTACACATAGGACATATTTTTTCTATCTTCTGATGAGTTGGATGTCGTAGTTTTCAGTTTCTAAATTGGCTTTCT